ACACGAACGTCATGAAGAGGCCGAATTCAGAATTTTGGGGGGGGGTTTGCAATATGGGCTCAACAACATCAACACGAAGAACGTCATCACACGGTACCTAAACGCTGGCAAGCTGTGCACGGCCTCTGCCAGACAAAAATATTGCTTTCACCACTCTGCCCACAACAGATAACGACAACAGAGGTATGTGGTCTTCCTGTCGTCCACTGACCCAGTTCCTGCACGCCTACACATGTACATAACGACAGCAACAACAAGACACCCTCATTCCCAGGGATGGAATAGAAAATGAAAACCTGATGCCCCTAGCACAGGCCCCTTGCAATTTTTTTTTTTTTTTTTTTTTTAATGAAGCCCAGAGTCGAGCCTCTCTTAGTGCGTGCAAAAAGTACCGTTAAGTCCGGGCGAGCATCCTTTAATCTCTCACGCTGGAGTGATTTCCCTGTCTTGAATTTCAAGGTCTTCTGCTTGATGGGTTTAATTTAGAAAGTTGGCGATATTTTCGCAGATGTGCTTGCCCGGGTGCATGCCTGAGCTGATGCACTCCAGGCTTGCTTGGCTTGAGCAGGTTGGCAAACTGCACATCGTGCGCGACAGCTTATGAAAGTGGGTGCCTGCATGTTATTCACTTGATGCACATAGCATATTTGCACCCGTACATGTACACGTGGCAGATGTACATGTACATGTACATGTACTGCACCTGTACCTACAGTGTACATGTACATGTATGAAGGACATCGTACACTGTACATGCACATGTATGGTACAGCGTGTACCCTTGCAGGTCACTCATTAAATCTACATGTACATGTACCCTCACTTCATTATATTCGTATTCATTATACATATACATGGACTGTAATCATGGCCCACATACATTGTACAGTACACCGCACATGCATTTATGGTCTGTGCATTGTGAAAGGCTGTAGTATACATAACAATATGCACATGTTCTAGTATTTAAGGACGGTCACATGTTGACATGGTTGACGAAAGATGTACATGTATGCATTTGTACGTGCTCATTTACTCACATTATCACAAGTTACAGTTTGTATTCACTTCAGTTCAGAATAACTCAGCGCCCTTCAAATTATGTTGTCATTGACCATTGGCAGTGGCGCAAGCAGTGCATGAGGCATGTGTAAGTACAGTGTACACATGGACATGTACAAGCAGTCATCTGACTTGCATTGACCGCCCTCGTTTCAATGGCATAATGTGTTTGCGAGTTGTACATGTAGAGTGGACCGGTACTTATACATGTGCCTGTCAGGCTGGAGAACTTACACCCCTGAGGTACGTGTGATTAAAACAGACCATGCAGCAACCTGCGCCCATTTCATCGGGGTTGTTGCAGATGCATGTTGCTAAAAATGGCGATTCTTTCTCCTGTGGCTGAAGTGCCCTGTAAGCACCGACAGCCGTGCGCTACTCCTGAATACCGAAGCAGAAGTGTGAAACAGAAAACTGTGTAGACTCACAGCTTGGTCCTCCGATTTCACAGAGTCCATTTTAATCGATGAAGTTGGGGCACAATTTGTGACAGTGTCAAGTCTTACATGGGTTCCCGAAAAAGGAACAGCTACCCGTGTTTCCCTGCGTGTGGATTCCAAATTGACATTGCTGTACATCTTGTACGGCTGAATACAGAGGTGTGTGTAATTTTTACAGAGTAAATGACCTACATGTACTCTACAGGTCATGACAGGTGGTAAAATTACCATGCAACAAGGACACCGTCACAAATTGTGCCCAACCTCGGATCTGTCAAGCAGAAAAAAACTGCTTCGCAAATTTAAGTGCTTAAACAAAAATCAGCTTGGAACCAGTTATGTACAGGTGTATGAAATAAGAATTACATATTGTATACATGTACGCATGGTATTTTGTCGGTCACCTGCCTCTGCTGAGTAAATAGTTTCTCCGCTCAGCAGATTTCTTAAGTCACGGCTCTATAAACTGATGATTAGCCAATCCTAACCCTCTGGGGTCCTTCCGAATCTTCCAGGACAGTGGAAGGTACATGTGGAACCCAGACATTATTGTTTCATGTTACGAAAATTCCTGTCTAATATTTCCAAGTAGGTCACTTGGGAGACATTTTGTGGTAAATTTTTCAACATCAGGAAGACATCAGTTAGTAGGGAGACATTTCAATGTCTGAAAGGAAAACATGCAAAGTTTGGTTAAGATCGGATTAGGGAATATTGAATTATGGGACGGTAAAGCTTGAAAAAATTTGTGCACATTCCTATGGGAATGTCTCCCAAGTGACCCATTTTCGGTAAATATAATAACTACATGTATGTTCCTGCATAGCAGAAGATGATGCAGTTTTAAATACGTACACGTACGTTCCGGATGATTGCATTTTGCAGTTCATGTAGGGTTAAGGAACACACAGGCTACACTTTTGCAGCGTACAAAACCTGTGTCACAGTCACCGTCCCTTATTTCGTCTGCTATTAGTTTCGAAAATTCTGTGGGAATCCTATTGCTACGGTCAACCAGATCCAACAAAACCCTTGGCCTTCCGGGGCAAAATCTATGTATTTGATACAGTCCTGGTCAGTTGCCATTGTCAGTTATCGTTGAATTCAGCTGTTGAAAATGAACCTCTTGTTCTTGTAAGGTGTCTCTTTACGGACATTTGTAATCGTTATATGCTTTTCTTGTCTAGTGTTTGCTTACTTTTGCCTACCTAGGGAGCTGTTGTCATTCTGCTGCCTTTTCGGTGCCCCAAAAACCTGCCGAAACACAACCGGTTTTTTGCCCTCAATGATCCGCATGGCTTCCTGGTTGGAGAAGACAATATTGAGGCAAAGTGTCTTGCCTGAGGACACAGGCTCCTCGATCCCACCAGCCAGACTAGAGCCCCCCAAACTGTACAGTCAACACCAACAGCAAGTGATCTGAAGCGAGGCACGCATCCAGACCATGGGGGCCCTGGGCACGTACATTTGTGTAACATGTTGTTGGCGTGTGCGTGCTCGCCCATTTTAAAATGATATTTTCTGCTCTCTTCCCCACTGCAGAGAAAACCTGCCGAGCCACTTCAAAGTGAAGGAGTACTGTCCCCTCGTCTTCAGGAACCTGAGGGAGCGGTTCAATGTCACGGATCTGGAGTATCAGGTTTGTGCTACCATCCAAGCACGTGACACACTACGCCCTGGCAGATCAGTGTAAATACTGCTTGCGGTTGTGTTGTAAGACATGACAAAGTGTGCAAGCAGCCTGTGTGATTGACCAGACCGGTGTGTCAGGCTATTCTTGTTTGTGTAGAACTCTGTAAATTGGGGCCTGAATTTGGAGATACCTCGACATGAATATCTATGCTAAGCCCAAACCAGCTAAGCATGTGTTATCCGCAATGCAAGTCCAGCGGCATATATGTACCAGGGTTCCTGGAAAAATCCTGGAGAAAAATCACTTGTCCTGGAAAGTCATGGAAATGTCACAGAAAACGGGGGAAGAATAGGATGTCATGGAATCTGTTGTCACAGGAAAAAAGTCACGGAAATCAAAATCATGAAAATGTTATGTTTGATGGGCTGCAGCCGCTTTTGATGTGATGACAAATTTACTGGCCGCCTTGTCAGTGTCTATATGTGATGGTGGCAGTCTTCCAGTTCAGGAAACCAAACAATGGATCTCTGAAAAATGGCATTAAATGTCATGGAAATTGTCAAGTTTCGGTCCTGGAAAGTCCTGAAAAAGACCTGGACGTTGGTTTATGGATTTCTGTGGGTAACCTAATGAGTAATGGGTTGTGACCGGTTTTGCTGTTAATGTAATTTTTCCCTGTGTCCGGGGATTCTCCGTGCTTGGAACATTATCGCATTTGAGACCCCATAAGACATCCGTAGTCTGACTGAAAAGTCACAAACTGTTCAAATGAACAGCGACAAAAGCATGTACTGGTATTACTCATTGTTCATCCTGTTTGTACTTGTGACTGGTCTCGTGACTGGTTTCAACTACCAGGGTACCGGTTACATTGGCCTGGATGCTGTACAGATTGAGCCCTTGATTCATGTACATGTTGCTTTTCATTCACCATACATGTACATGTGCATGCAACCATACACCAATTATTTAGCTGTTCGGATCCACCTCTGAAGCTGACTCCGTTTTGTTAAAAATCCTGCCCTTGATTTTCAGTATCAGATGGCTACATTATTTTTCAGATTTTTAAAATTACTGTCGTTTTTTTGTACAAGTACATGTACGGTACTGTACACATTTTCGGTGCCAACAGTTAAGCACCGGTCCCAATAAAACCAGCCCAGTCACCTTTAAAATTACCCCTTGCCCTCTGCCGGAACCTTTCTTATCAACCTGATCACGACTTCCTCCAGTGGCCCTGTGATGTTAATAATGCCAGGGAAGCAACCCTGGATTGTTTGCAAGGTTGCGGTGGTTTAAGATTCATTTCTGAGTGTTGTCGTTCGGTGACGATAAAACCACCTGTGAGACTGACAAGGAGGCAAGTTGAAAATTTTACATGTACTCTTGCAGGTCGGCAGGGGTCTGTCCTTAGTAGCTGTATCACAGTCACCTTAAAGGGACAGTCCAGAGTGCCAGCTGATACGGTACTGCCGTGTTCACCTTAGCCATACCACAAAGGAGAAAGCATGGTGTTTCCTATTGTGTATACGGTATCTGGGTGCCGCTTGGGCCGACCTTGGGCGTGTAGTGATGGGTACATGTAGGCCTTTGTGGCATTGAGGGGATGATTTCCTTTCTTTGGAATGTCAAGACTGAGGTTTTGGATACATTTTCAGTTTGGGTTTTTTTCAGTACATTTGTACCGAATGGTGTTTTCCTTCTCAACGAGTACGTGTCAGTTTCAAAATATGTCCCCAGAATTGCCATGTACATGATGTGTATTCTAGAATGATCCGTTACGGGTTTCATATTGAGTTTGTTTCTGCATTCAATTGGGGACCCCAAACAATAGTGGACAATAAGGTCCCCGATTGACAGAGGGTCCCCGATTGACAACTGTGTAC